ATGTGAAACAATCCAGAGCGCAGCTGCCTCCAGAGACGGATCACTGAGCTGACTTACCCCCGCCACGGTCCCGGGCTGAACAGACGTGTTCCCATCTGTTCCCAGTATGATGGTGGTCTGGCTCATGGTCGTCCAGTTCCCCGCGGTGTTGTTCTGCTCCGCGGTGGCCCGGAGCTGGTCGCGGGCCGAGCCTGCGGAGTCTTTCCTCGGGGCCGAGTTGAGGGCCACCGAGCCTCCCAGAGCGGCTGCCGGCGGCGGCGGCGGAGCGCTTTTAAACGTCCCGTATTCTTTATTGGCGTCCGGCTCTCCCGGTTTACTGTCCGCGGGGCAAAAAGTTTTGCACTCGTTGCAGGGAGGCGGCTGGGACGCTGGGTGGTGGTGGCCGTGGTGGTGGTGATGGTGGTGGGGGCCGGCGGGCGGCGCGCACGGAGCCGTGTTGTCCGGCTTGTTGGACGCGAATCCCGCGGCTCCCTCCTGCTGCTGCGCCGGGATGTAGCCGGTGGCCGGCTGCTTGGCCATCGCGTCCCTGTGCTCGGGCGGATCCTGGAACATGAAAGTGACAGATCAGCGGCACGAGGGGTGACGTGACGGCTGGAAGCATGCAGCTGCGAGGGGGCTGCAGCCCATTTCCGTCCTGGGACTTTCTGCCTTTTTTTTTTTTTTTTTTGCTTTCCTCCAACCTCCCCTCTCTAAACACTTTAATTTGAGCTCAGTGTCTATAGGGGTGTGTGTCACTGCATGAATGCAGGCTATTTGTGTGTGTTGGAGGGAGGAGGAAAGGGGGTGCTGATTTGATTCCCCTGTTCTGGCTTTCTGCAAGATTCTTTAATTTTACGCCCCATTTCCCCCCTCATGTCATTCAGCCACACACATCCGCTGATTTTTATGGGCAATAGACAAGCTGCTGCGGGTCTCTGGGAGCTTGGCTCTCCCCGCAGGCAAGCAACCCTCACCGGTGTTACAGCAGACCCTGAGCGCAGGGATAAAAAAAAAAAAGACTCACTGACATTTAACACAGAGGTGGTGAGAAAACAACCGGAAAATCCCCTAGATTCTTAAAAAAAAAATCCACGTTCTACTAATTAATGCTTATTCAGTTCATGATTAGTTTGGATTTATTATTATTATTATTACAATTATTTAAAAGAAGCTAATTTACATTATACAATAATAAAAATCCGCATAATGAAAAGTAAAAAAAGCCATTCCCAGACCGCAGGAGAATACTGGGGAAAAGTTTTTGCGTWTCAGCACCACGGACAGCGCAACTTCTTTCCACGTTCCAAACTGCTATCAGGAAAAGGCGCTTCTTTCACATAAAATCACACCAAAAAACAGTCCTATGATAGATGAAAGCGCAGGGAAAAAGAWGAAATGAGTTGTTTCTGTACACTTACCATGTCTGCGCAGAGATCTGTTCGATGTGATGGAAACAGCTGGAAACAGGAGGGGAGGACTGGAAGCCAACTGGTTTATAGCCGCGCAAAGCAGCGAGTGCAAAGCGTTTCTGCAGCTCGGAGGAGGAAAGACTGGAGTTTTGCGTCAGTGCGGTGCAAGGTGCCCTTCGCGTGACATTTTCTTGATAATAAGAGTTTGATAAATCATTGGCCTTGGATTCGGATTTTTAAAGGGACTTGCTGGGACAGGACAGGGGCGCGTTTCTGTGCGTGCGTGAACTGGATGTCTTCTGATTACGCACGTTGCATGCGTGAGCGCGGGACGAACCTGCTTTTCCAAAGCTGATTAATACACTCCTCTCTGGAGATGTGTATCTTACACACACACACACACACACACACACACACACACACACACACACACACACACACACACAATACGCTGTTGGTTAGGGATGATTATTTTTCTTCCAGATTTGGGTTGGTACTTGAAAACTTCTAAAGACCAGATCGAACATGTGTACAGTGAGGTCTTCTGTTACTCTTGTGGGACTTTGTACA